CCGTACTCGTCAACGAACTGGCCCACAGCTGTGCACAGCCTAGGTCACTGCGGAGGTGCTCAGAGGGTGCACCTCTCACTGGCGCTGTTCCCCTGCTCAGCCTCCTGGCCAGCAGGAATGAGCCACTTTGTGCCACCATACCATTCTGCCGTGTTCCTCTTGGCACCAGCCAAGCAGGGACAGAAGCCCCCGAAGCTGTGAGCCACGGTAACCCTCTCCTCCTCAAGGTGGTGTCAGGCATGACGCCCCTGCACCAGGAAAGCTGACTAATGTAACAGCAATTCTGCAAAAGCTAAACTGCTAGGCTTGCAGCTCTCTTTTACACATTCTCACACCATCATTACGTGACTGCCGCACGGCACAGGTAAGAGCTATGCTAGTCCTTAATACGTGAAACTCTCCTAACACTTGGACAGAATCTGCAGTTCAGACTTGTTCTCAGCCTGTTCACGGGAGCCACTCACAATGCCACTAATGCAGGAAGAAAGCATTTTGATTGCCAGCATCAATTTTTAATTCACTTGAGTCCTGTATCTCTCTGGAACACACAGTAATTCACTCTTGCTGACACACGACGCTGTGAAGCTGCAGACTTCTAATGGATGCACTCATTTTACCTTATTATGAAAGAAAATTTGCTGCAAAGCAATTTTTAAAATGTACTTCCAAAACAAACAGACAGTTCAGTGATGGTCTCTTATTCTGGGCTCTCTTCCTATCTGTGGTCTGATTAGTAGAGGTAGCCAGGAGGAGCAGAGAAGTCAGGTTGCTCATGTCCCAGAAGTTTAGCAGTTCTGCTGACGGGATGCTGTTTACTGCAGAGGCAGAAGGGCCCAGGACAACAGCCAAGCTCCTTCCAGTAGACGCTGCACTGAGGTCAGAGCTAAGACATGGTCCCATTAAAGGCTTCAAAGTTATCAGATGTTTAAAATGTTACACCCTAATTACAGATTATGAGATATTTTATACATGCAAAAGGTCTTTGAATAACAAAACACACCAAAAATATCCAGCAAGCTTTGAAATTTGAAATCTTCCCATAGATCAACTGTCTTATCTATTTGGAAAGGAAAATACTTCAACTGTCTTAGAACGCCTTCTGCGGATAAAAGCGATCTATACTGGACATGTTGTCATCTAATTTTTTAAAATTTAATTCACCTCACCTTTTTACCCAAACAGGGTCACACTATTGTGATGTATAATTTTTCATAATTAATGAGTTTTGTGAAACTTGCTATATATGTATGGATCTGTTTCATTCTATTTCATTGTATGCATGTTCTACACTAGTCATTTAATCATTCACCTATTGATGGAACCTTCAATGGTTCCTTTTACTTATAACAAAAATTGCTGCAGTGAATATCTCTGGGCTGCCTTTACACGCTGTGAACATTTCCTTAGGACAGGGGTGTTAGTGTGTCACTTTTCAGTTCAACAAGAAGCTGTCGAACGGTCCAGTAAAAGGCTATTGTCACCCTACCCTTACTCATCACCAGTACTACTGATGCTGCTCCAAGTTGGAAGTTTCTTTCTTCTCCTCTCTTCCTTCTTCTCACAGTACCTGCAGTGACATTTCCCCCCTGCACGTCTGCAGGGCTGACTGCAGAGTTAGTGGACGCACTCACTCCCTCTTCCAGGTTTCAGGAAAGGCTCCAATTCAAAGGAAGCGGTGAGAGTGAGGAGCAGAGACCAGCGGAAAACCAGGCGCACAGACCTCTAAATAGCCATGTTTCCTGAGTCACAGGAAACATGACTTCGAGCCCCAGAGAAGGTGCACACAGATTCCGCCTCCTCAAGACCAGTGAACATCCCTGCACGCAGTATCACCCTCCGGACCGAGATATTATTCCCCAGAAAAGGCCACCCACGCTGCCGCATAGTTCACTCACTGTCCAGTGGGCCAGCCCGTGGTGAATGAGCCCCTTCCTCTCCTACCACTGTGTCTCTCAAGCCGCTGGCTCCCGGTGACAGCAGAGTCAGCCCTTTCACAGCTTCACACCCGTGGCCACTCCCCTGTACACTCGGCAACATTGGGCACCTTCAATCTTTAAAATACCCCTCAGTGCAGTGACCAAATACAGGACTGCACTATCTGAACTCACATTTCCCAGATCACCAGTGAGAGGTTTCCTGGTTGCTCAGACTTTTTCTTTTTCTTTTTTTAGGTTAAAAAAGAAATTTATCTATCAATGATACAATTATACAAAAAATCTAGAGGCATCTACAAGTAATTAGAAAATGAGCCAGTCGTGGTGGCACACACCTGTAATCCCAGCACTCAGGAGGCTGAGGCAGGAGGATCATTGTGAGTTAGAGACCAGCCTGGGCCTGGGCTACAAAGTGAGCTCAAGGCCAGCCTGAACTACATAGCAAGACCCTGTCTCAAAAAATAATAATAATGATAAAATAAAATAAACCACAGCACTGTACTCCACTTTATGAGCCTGGGCACAACCCCAAAACCTGTCACGGGACCCTCATTAAGACGATACTAAGCAAGACCTCTGCAGCAGTCATGGTGCTGTGCGACGGCAAGAAGGAAAAGCCTTGCTCCAAACGACGCAGCTCCTTTCTAATGAAGTTAAAAGCTTATAATATCATCAGTTCCTCCTTCAGCAGCTTTGGGTGTGAGTCCCTCAGTGTCTTTCTCAAATTCTGCACACCTTGCTTTCACTTTTGGTAACGGCATCACCGCGGCTTGGCAAACCTGATGGGCTCTTCCTCGGCACGGTTCCCACCTCGGCTGTCGCGGCGCCAGGGCTGCTGGCGCAGCCACCTGTCTTACACAGGGTCCTCCTCCACCCCTGAGGCGCAGCTGCCTCCGCCCCTGCACTTGCGTCCCTGTTTCTTCTTTCCCATGAAGTATCTACATAGGAGTTGCGCCCATTTTACTTGGAAAAATGTCTGCATATTCAGGGTAGGAGTTTCCTATTTGGTATGAGCGTGCTAAATACATCCTCTTGGTCTGTCGTGTTAACTTTGTTTATGCTTTGTTTATAGAAATTGATCAAATCTTTTTTCATAGTATCACTTGTATTTTTCTTACTTCAATAGCTCAAAATTTAAACACTTTCTCATTTACTTTTTTTAAATCAAAGCTTTGGGAATAGAAGTGTTTGCTGATCTTGTAAGGTGCTGAGGAAAACAGGTGGGGACTAGTTACTGCCCCTGCCCCCTGCTGCAATCTGTGGTCAGGCTTGTGAATACCAAGAGGGAGAGGGAGGAGGGAGGAGGGAGGAGGGAGGAGGGCAAGGGGAGGCAAAGCCCAGGCCTGGGGATCCAGGGGCTGGAGGAAGTTATGAATTGGCCCCTCTGCAGCACAAGGATACGCTCTGAGTGGGGTTCCCCTGCGCCCCACTCGGGGCTCATCCACCCACCACCCACAGTACAGGAGCCCAGCATGGCAGGGGTGTGGCCTTCCGCTCCACAGCCTGGCACAGCATCTGAAACCCCTGAAGGAAAATGAGTTTGCAGGCCAAACTAGTAAGATTTGATGTGTACAACCACTTTAGAAGAAAAACAACATAATCAACTACAGATTCTGAAAGCAGTAAAAATATTAGAAGTGACCAAGAATTTTAAAATAGATTGTTAACCATATGTTAAAAGTAAGTACACAAACATGCAGGATATACAGGACAAACTGAAATAGTGAGTATGCTACAAATATGTTTGAATATATAACAATTATTATTAGTTGCAGGGGAACTAAAAAGAACACTACAGCGAGAGGAGTGAAACATGCCTATAACCCCAGCACCAGGAGGCTGAGGCAGGAGGATCACTGTGAGTTTGAGGCCAGCCTGGATTACATAGCAAGACCCTATCTCAAATAAACAAACAAACAAACAAACTACATGTATGCTATAGTCAAAATGAACAGCATTTTCCAAGTCCATTTAGTAAGCAGTGAATATCTGAAAGTACATGCATTGGGATGTGGCCATGAGAGGCTGCACACACGTGGCAGGGAGAAGGGAGAGAAGAGGCAGACCCTGTCTTTCAGTGGGAATCAAGAGCTCATCCATGAAACACAAAAACTCACGGAGCCAAGCACAGTACTCAGACACAGACGTGAGTGACAAGCTGCCATGAGTGAAGTGAAGCTTAAGGAAGATGCAGAAGGGATGTAAAACCTCGCAGAACTATGGAACCTTTAAACTATGTCATGTGTAGCTTTTACTAAAATGAATAGTAATAAAAAGGGAAAGAATAGTAATAAAAACGAAGAAGAAGGGGAGTTCCCTAGAACTCCCAAGGGCTGGACACACCACACTGTCCAGCTCGTTCAAATCACAGCCCAGGACCGGAGGCATCGTGACATCATACCAGCTACCTGGAAGCAGAGCTCTGCTGCGCGGGTCACCTGACAGTGTCTCAGGACAGCGCATCCACGTTTGTGCAAAGAACCGCTCTATCCATTCAGAAGTGCGAGCTTTTTCTTTCTCACCTCTGGAACCAGTCTGAAGTCCATACACGTTCCATTAAGAAGTCTCAACTTCCTACCACCTCCCCCGCGCTGGTGACAAGAGGTGCTGCCTGCTGACCTCTGTACCCATCGAAGTCCCTACCCTGGCTCTCCCGGAGCGCTAGCTGCACATCTTCTCTCTGCAAACCTACATAAGAAGTGAGACTCTTCCTTCCAGAAATGCCTCCTGCTCAGCGCTGTGAATAACTGCTGACCTGCTGACACTTACAATGCTTCCGATCAGAGTATACCGCACTGCATACATGCAGACCTCGGCAGGCACAGCAACGTTCAGGGGATAACACTTCCAGCTTGAACATTCAAACGGCTTTGGCTGTTTTCTAAGAGGGTATACAAAGGAACTTAGACGTTGGATCCTGTCTTCTTTATACTCTGAGACAGCGTCAATGTCAACACTGAGGCACTGGTTCCCACACAGGTCCTGAGCTGGAGTTTTAATGGTACACAGCAAAGCAAAGCAAATACATATTAAGTGGAAGAAAACAGCGGCTAGAAGCCAACATACCTTCAGCATGTAGTAGAAGGGGAACCAGGACAGGAAGAGATCAGAGAAGAACTCGGCAATGCTGAACACACCGTACACCACCCAGTAAGTCAGCCACTGGGTGTCGTCGTCTTTGTTGGGGCTCTCTATGGCTTTCATTCTGGAAGGAAACAAAAGAAAGCACAGCATTTAGGGAGATCTCAGAGAACACGTTCAACATGCTTCCACAGCCTGTCCTCTAACGCCATGGGAAACTCAGGCAAACGCACGCAAAAGCATCTGTAGAAGCAGAAGAGAACCGTGAAGACGCAAGCAATGTGGAAAGAGCAGAACAAGTTGTCATCACCTCCCCCGGCCTCTGGCCACCAGGCAAAGCAGCCCCAGCTGTGACGCTATGGATGTGCAGCTTGCTAGAGCCTCTACCTTGCCCTGACATGCTGCCAGCCGTTCAACTCCAGCGATTCCTCTGCCCTGGAGAGCACTCAGGTACCTCGGGCTCCGGTGCACATTAGTAACTCAACTGCCTCGTGGGCGGCTGGGAGCGCCCCACAAGGACCTTCTAGAGCACAGGTCAGGCACTGCCCAAACCCACAAACATACTGCCCAACAGGCAACGCAAACCAGCATCTCAGCGTCCACTTAGTCCAGATGGTCCCTGTGTGACCCTCGGCTGTGAGTCCTCCTCCCCTCAGCACTGGGCGACATTCCCGACCCTAACTCCCGCTTAGACCAAAGGCATTCTGCAAATCGGTGGGAATAAATTTTAAATAATCTTTTACTTCTGAATCACAGACATTTCCTTCAGTCCTAGAAATCTCTTTATTCTAAACCTGAAGCTCCACAATTTCTTAATCTACCCTAAAATATACCTGTAGTCATAACTCAGCCGGACTAAAAATATAAACTAGAAACATGTCTGGATTTTATGGGGCTGAAGGTGTAGCTCAGTGGTAGAGCACTTGCTTAGCATGAGTGAAGCCTTGGGTTCAATCCCCAGCACTAAAATTAACAAGAGGGAGCTAGAGACCGACAGACAGAGACAGACAGACAGGCTGATTAACTATCTAACTGCAGTGAAAGTAGCTCCCCAAAGAGGCAGGCTGCTGAATCATGCTGAGTCACCCGCTGAGGAAGCCTCGGAGGGTTCACAGAACCAGCCATGTGCACACGTGTTCCCTTCAGACGTGTGCCTTTTAAGAAAATAACCAAAGGGGGAAATAGCTGAAGGAGGAAGGGTTAGAGTTGGACGAGATGGGTGCCCAGGACGTACGGAAGACACAGGAAGGCGGAGGTGATGAGGCAAATGCTGCTTTGATCTTCAAGACTAGGCAAAAAATTCACTTTAAGAACAAAAATCATATAAATTTAACAAAGCTGATTGTAGAATAATCGCTTATAACGTGAATGAGGTCTATGTTTTAGTAAGATGAATTCAGAAGTTTCCATGTTAATACAGTAGGGCACAATACAGTGACACTAAAAAGTAGCAATAAAAGACTCAAAATCAAACATACACATTAATCATAACTTTGCAGTAAACCAAGGAGACAGAAGCTTGCTAATGTAACAGAGGGACAAAGGCAAATTTTAGCAAGCATGTTAACCCCAGAATGAGCACAGTGTAGCCTTTATATGTAAAACTTTTTCCTGCTGTGTTTTACTTGGTTTAGTAGAGCTGTACCTATTTATAGGTAGGTAGTTTTTATTTATTTATTTGGGGGTTGTTTATTTGTTTGCTTTTTGGTACTGGGAATTGAACTCAGGACCTTGAGCTTGCCAGGCAGGCACTGTGCCACTGAGCTATATCCCCAGCCCCATTTTGGGTTTTTTTGAGACAGGGTCTCACTATTAGTTCAGGCTGGCCTTGGCCTCCCGAATGCTGGGATCATAGGTGTGTGCCACCATGCCCGGCTAGGTAGGGTCTTTAAGTTATCAGTACAATAAAAATTTCTTATACTGTCATCGTGGGCAGAGAGGGTACATAGTTATAGTTCATTTAAGGTCTTTTTTTTTTTTTTTTGGACAGGGTGGGGGTTTACTAGGGATTGAACCTTCACACTGAGCTCTATCTCCAGCCTGCCTATTTATTTATTCATTTAATTAATGTTGAGACAAGGTCTCACTAAGTCACTAAGTTGTCCAAACTGGGCTCAAACTTGCAATCCTCTTACCTCAGCCGCCCAGAGGGCAGAGATTCCAGGTGTGAGGCCCTATACCCAGTTTCACTTAAGGTCCTAAGACATTCCACGACTAAACAAACTATGAAAATTTAAGTTTCCATGTTAATATACTGGAATACTATATAGTAACACTAAAAAGTAAAAATTAAAGAACTTAAAATTGCATTCAGGAAAAAAAAAAATCATACTCAGGAGCCCGAGGCAGGATGATTGCTGCAAGTTTGAGGCCAGCCTAGGCTGCATAGTGAGTTTGAGGCCAGCCTGGACTACAAAGCAAAACCCTGTCTTTTTTTTTTTTTTTTTCGCAAAACCCTGTCTTAAAAAAAAAAAGCAAACTCAAAATCAAATATACACATTAATCACAACTTCATAGAAAACCAAAGTTCATGAAAGAAGATAGGAAAAGACAAAAGAGCCTTACTAGGCTACAAATATTGTTTCTTCTAGTTTTATGTACCGGAGCAAGGAGTTCCATTTTGGCATGTGGCATATTTGTGGATCCACCCAACACATTTCGACCCTTCTCCCCATCATCCCTCTCCTCCCCCACCTCCTGTAATCACCTCCCTTCTACTTTCGTGTCCCCTCTCTTTGAAAGATTTTCAATACAATTTCTCACACTAGTGAAGTATTTTAACTGTTTAATTTATTTTTAAACTATTGTTTTAACTTAAAATAGTTCAAAGTGTATATTTTTTAAAAAGGATCGTGGCAGAGGCCTACATTCCCAGCACTCTGGGAAACTGAAGCAGCACTGCAGGCTGGAGCCCAGAGCGGGCAGCTCAGCGACTGAGATACGGTCTCAAACTTTTAAAAACGGGTGGGGGAGCATGATGAGAGAAGAGCTCAAAACTGGGGTTTCCCAAATGTTATCCACTGCAGCCCAGCACAGACCTCCTTGTTCCACTGAGGGGACGCGGGTCATTCTCCAACAATGCACTCTTCCTTGTACACCTGGGGAACCATATTACAACCAAGCAAGCATTCTGAATGTGTAAAAGAATTCAAGATAAAAACACTTCAACAACACCATTTGCTAAGATTTCAAATGCTTCATCTATAAGCCTGTATCTGCTTGCTAAAACACCCACCTCCCTGGGTCCTTGCAGTCCCTAGCTAACGCCTAGGAGGCCCTGGAACTGTCCTGCAGAGGCAGGCAGCAAATGCAACCCTCTCCGCTCAGGCCAGGCCTGCTGTCTCTCCCTCGTGCACCTCGTGCTCCCGGGGCCACCAGTGACCCTGGCAGACAGCATCACAGGACAGACACTGTGGTCCTCCTCGCTGTGGGCCTGCACTGCCACTGTCTCACCTCTGACTGAAAGCCTGGCCACCGAGGCTCAGAGCTTTGGCTCCCCTGTTCTCTCCTGAGCCATCGACCATGGTCCAGAGACAGCTTTGCTTCCCTAAGCAGAGGGCAAGAAGCCAGCTGGGTTGGTGACAGCAGAGACAGGGCTGGGTGCAGGAGACAGCCGGCCACTCTGCAGGGGCAGCAGGCAGGTCTAGATCAGGAATCGCAGACATCACAGAGATGAACTAGCTCAAGCTGTACATTTTATAGACAAAGAAGATGAACTTTAATGAGGAAAATGACGTCAAAATGAACTTCAGCTCATTAAAAGACTACAGAAGCCATGAACAAATTCACATATTTTTAAAAACGCAATGAAATATTTAAATATCCTGAAGCCTTCAAAAAAGGTAACAAAGGGCTGGGGATATAGCTCAGAGGCACAAGCACCTGACTGGCAAGCACAAGGTCCTGAGTTCGATTCCCGGTACCAAAAAATAAAAAGATAACAGAAATATATACAAAAGGAAATTATAATTCTGTGATAGAGAAAAAAAGACAAATGTGAGTTGACAGACCAAGAATGGTCTCCAGAAAGACACTCTATTTCAAATTGCATAAAGTTAATCCTACGCACTGAATGATAGAACTTCAAGGTCTTTGCAGTAAGCATGTATTTTTTTTTTTAATAATGAAAGGGCAGAGGAGATTTGTATTTGTCCTGAGACAGCCCTGCTATCAAGACTGGCCTCAGTCTTGCAAGCCTCCCTCCTCAGCCTTCCAAGTATCGGAATTACAGCACACTTAACAAAGGGGAACACTTGTATTTGGGAAAAAAGGGTGCATCCCCAGACTTTCCTTCTTTCTCTTTCCTTTTCCATGTGTGTAGCGGTTTTAGGGGTAGAACCCAGGGAGCACTGAACTATATTCCTAGCCATTTTCATTTTATTTTGAGTAAGAGCCTTGCTAAGTTGTGCAGGCTAGCCTGGAACTTGGAATCCTTCGGCCCTAGCTCTCAAGAGGACAGAGAGCTGGGATACAGGTGTGTGCCACTGGGCACAACACACCAAACTTTCTATAACTAATTCCTCCTATGAGACTAGTTCCTTCTTTAGGGCTTTGTTAAAAACAAAAGTGAACATCAGACATACTCATTTAATTTCTCCCTTGAGGAAACTGCTAATGATTTTCTTATAAACAAACTTCTCAAACAATAGTCAGATACAACCTGTTGTGCTTTAGCATTTTAAAAAGGCCTCCAAGGGTTAAGCCCACTTACTTACTGCCAGCTACTTAGGAGGCTGAGGCAGAAATATTCCTTAAACCTAGAAGTTCAAGACCAACCTGGCACAATATAGTGATGCCCTGTCTACAAAAACAAAAACAAAAAACTCATACAGAGAGTCATAAGGCCCATCACACAACTCTGACTCATTTGAACTTACTATTTAAACAAATTATCAAAAGATGACTAATTACTATGGGATAGGCAGGGCCTTCCCTTCCTTTCTCTCAGTGCCCATCGGGCTCTGCACCACTTCACGTCCTCAGCTGGCTGCGTCCACCTGGCTCCGGCACACAGCGGCGTTTAACCTTGGGCGCGTTGTGCAGTCTCCCCGGGCTGCGCCTGCTCTGCTGTCGAGGAGGATTAATACCGTGTGGTGCTGTGATGAAGAGTACAGTGCTCATCGC